CTAGGCTCCGCAACAACACGGTCGCGCAGCACCGCCAGGAACGGCATCACTGGGCCTGCTACCGTTGGATGGCGCCTTGTGTGGTCGGATGCTTGCAAAGCTGCATCGCTGAGGGCATTGCCATCTTTGCAGCTTCCGAGCTCACCTCAAGGCAGAGCTGGTGCTCTTTGCATCGGAAATCTGTTCTCCATGTGAGGATCTCGCTGGGGTACGGGACCTTTCGCGTGCGGATTCCGCTGCAACATAAGACGGAATCGAAGCTGGCGATGGCATAACCGGAGCTGGCGTCATGGGGGCATTCTCGGCCAACAGATCCCAGACCGAATAGTCTGCGTTTGGAGAAGGAGGCGGTCGAAGTCGAAACGGAGAGACTGGAGGTGGAGTTGGAACTGCTGCTGGTGCGACTTCTCCTCGGGGAGTTGGAACTGCTGCCTGGACGACTTCTCCTCGTGGAGTGAATACCTCCGTTTCTGTGTCGGTAGGTCCAGCTGTGGCCTCTAGCCGCAGGAAACAGGATCCGGTGGGTTCTGCCGGACCGCCCCTCAAGCGATTCAAACGCCTGCTGGCCGTATCAACCGAGGCTTTCGTATGCAGCACGTGTAGGTGTAGCAGCAGCAACATCCGATTCGGCATCGCTCTCCTCGAGCACCTCCTCGATACCTGCTGGGCATGGTATTCCTCCAAATCTGTTGTAAGGCACCCATTGTCCTGAAACCGCTGATGCCTCTCTCGCTCCAAATGCCGCGGTTCCTGCAGGAGTACGCACCGGTGACGTGGAATAAGTCCGTGCGCAAAAGTGCACGATTCCAAGGAAGTATACCCCGGAGGGACTGGGATACACTCCTCCCCAATGGCGTCTCTCTCCCCCATCAGTGGGGGTGCAGTACGGCCGCAGACAAACCGGAGCAGGAAGTCCCGATCGGTATATAACCGGCTTAAAGTGTTTATTGGCTCGCCGATCAGGTCACGGCAAAGAGGCACCGGCTCCTCCATCCGGCGATGGTTTTCGAAGATTGAGTCCAGGCTCTGCAATGAGGTGGCTGGGAGGGATAGGCTCTGCAGTGAGGTGGCTGGGAGGGACAGACCTTGCCGACCATTGTGGGCCCCACTTGTGGCGGAGCTTTGGTGCTGCGGCTTGTGCCGACCGGCCCCGACGACTTAAACTTGGTAGCCCGACAGCTGAGAGCTCTGTGCGATAATTCTACCTCCAACATCATCTACATGACAAGGACTTGCTGGCATTGTCCCACGGCACGGGCGTTTTGCTGCAAGGTGCCCTCAGGGGGTCGAGCTTTGGTGCTGCGGCTTGTGCCGACCGGCCCCGACGACTTAAGCTTGGTAGCCCGACAGCTGAGAGGTCTATGCGATAATGCCACCAACATCATCTACGTGATACGGACTTGCTGGCATTGTCCCACGACACGGGCGTTTTGCTGCAAGGTGCCCTAGAATCATCATGAACCACATCAGGAGCCAGTCTCGCGGCAAACTTTGGGCGGTAGGATGTGCTGCCGAATGCTTGGAAAGGTGCGTCGCGGACCGCCTTGTCCTGTCCTTGAGACGGCGGCGCTCGCACAGCGCATGATCGAGGCAGTTATGTCCAGAATGCTGCAGCCACGAAAGGCAGAGGCTTGCTCCCGTCTGATGGCGCGGGCTCGAGGGCTCTGTCTTTCTCCAGACGCTTGCTGTCTTGGCCAGCATGTGCAGCTTCCAAGCTCACAGCGCAGAGCTGTCTGCCAGACTTCTGAGCAGACTAGTAGGAGACCTTGCGGTGATTGGGGGTGTTGAGTGCTACCGGTCTTGGTGACTATGGCAGGTCTGCAGGCTGCTGTTCAGGACTCTTCCGTGCAGGTTGGAGATTTCGAGGTCTGGGTCCGCAGGACTTGCTCGGCTAAGCTCAGCAAGGCCCAGTACGCCCTGAGCGTGCTGGGCGCGGCGAGCTTTCTTCGGCTGCGAGGGCTTCAGGTTTAGGGTTTGGTGTGGTGGAGCTGCTGCTGGGTCGGGCATGTCGAGGCAGGGGTTCTCTAAGCACCGAACTCTGGAAGGTTCAGTCTCCACGTATGGCCGCTTGACTGCCCAAGCCCCCCTAAACCGCGAACTTCGTGCCGCACGCTTGGAAGGCTGGTTGAGGACACGCTCTTGCTGGTGTCGCTGGATGGAGCGGTGCTGCAGCACGCTGGGTGCTAGGCTCTGCGACAACACTGTCGAAGTGCAACGCCAGCAACGGCATCAGCGGGCCTGCTACCGTTGGATGGCGGCTTGGGTGGTCGGATGCTTGCACAGCTGCGTCGCCGACCGCTTCGTCCCGCACTTCAGTCACTTGAGCCCGCGCTTGAGTTTTGAGACGGCAGCACTTTCACGGCGCATGAGGCAGGTATTTGCCTTCAGAGTGCTGCGACCACAAAGGCCTGCCCCCGTCTGCCCTAACAATCCCAAGTCCTGGATCGTAAGCTCCCCGGTCCTCTAATTCCTCGGGTCCCTGGTGATCTAGCTCCTCGGGTCCCCGGCATGTGCGCAGATAGGGTGGCAATTCGGTCTGAGACCCTATAGAACTCACTCGACTTCTTTTAAATACTTGCAGAACTCGTGATACCGTGCTTGTTCTCGGGTAGACCTGCGATCGGCGCCCGAGAGCACTGTGCACCACCGTGACGGCAAGCGGTTTCGGACAGAAGCGATCACTTACTCTTTCACCGTGAGCGCCCCCTGAAGATGACACAGGTCGCGACAAGGCGCCGAAAATGCAGCGCGGACAGTTAAGCCGATTACTCTTCAAATGTCCGTGCTCGGGACATTTGGGGCCTTCGCCATTCGCTCCACTACCCAGGGCGGAAGCTTCGGACTCTCCCACGCTCGTGGACGCCCAACGGCTGAAGCGTGTGTGTATAGAGTGTAGAGCTTTGTCCCGCGAATCTTTGACACATTTTCGGTTGTCGTTGAGCGTCACATGCATCACGATCCGCCGTCCCTGGACCAGAAACTCTGGCAGGGCTGCCGATCAATTCCATAGATAGCCGCTTGGATTGTAGGGTGTCTCGCGCAGCCTCGTGCAGCTGCAGGAGCCTCCCTTGCCTTCTGCGGGAGCCTCCCTCGACTGCTAGATGCAGCTGCTGATTTTCAGGCGGCGGCGTGTCGCCTATATTCGCTGTGATTGCCGTGCTTGTGCACGTGCAGTACCAATGCCTCTGCTAACGCCCCACGAAACTTGGCTCTTCTGGCACATGCGCTTGGGGGCAGCTTCCACTTCATTTGGACTGGCGGGGGCTACTCAAACAAGCCGGATGGAGGGAGGTAGGGCAGCCTTAGGTGCCCTGAGCTGTTAGCAGTTTCATCATAGAGATCCCCCTGAAAATGACACAGGTCGCGACAGGGCATCGAAAATGCAGTGGCGGACAGTTTGACATGAGAAGCCGATTACTCTTCAAATGTCTGTGCTTGGGACATTTGGGGCCTCCGCCAGTCGTTCCACGACCCAGGGTGGAAGCTTCGGATTCTCCCACGCTCGCGGACGCCCAACGGCTGAAGCGTGTGTGTATAGAGTGTAGAGCTTTGTCCCGCGAATCTTTGACACATCTTTGCGGTTGCTGTTGAGCATCATGATCCGCCGTCCCTGGACCAGAAACTCTGGCAGGGCTGCCGATCCACCTGCGCACTGAATAGCTTCCAGCTTCCAGCGACTCCAGATAAGCTAGACTATGCAATGAGGCAGGGCAAGCCCACTGCCCTCCACATGTTCACAGCACTCTAAGCCACGAGCCCTGATTGTGGCCCACGGCCGAAGAGAGAAAGGCATGCATCTTGTTGCGGTCATCGGTGACGTCCCGGTCGAAGAGCAGCGTGGGGTAGGCGATCTTCATCTCATATCCGTTGGGGTCGATATAGTACACCATGGCGGAGTCGGTGAAACCATCCGTGTTGCTTGCTGAGGACTGCCGGGCACCACGTGCAGCGGCGGCCAGATGGACGCAACCGGCCTTGGGTTTCATGATGTACGTCGCCAGCATGTGCTGGCCGTGCCTTGCGTGCAGGGGAAATAGACTTCAAGACGCACCTCTCTCTCTCTCTACCAGCGTTTGAGTTGACCCGACCCTCAACCACTATCCAAGCATCACCCGATTTGTGCACATTCAGCGCGCTACTGAGTCTCTTGATGAGGGTGGCCTCGCCCAGGTCCCACCTTCTCTCGTCGCAGTCACTTCCCAGAAACAATACTTTGATTTCCGCTGCCAAGCTATCAGTCGTGCCCAGGGCTTCCCCCCTCCACCCGTCCACGGCCGGTTTTCGACAAGAATTACGGCTGTCATGGACGAACAGATGAGATGCTTCGATCTTCTCCGGGTCTCTCGTTCTTGGTGACGCTCCACAAGATCCGGCAAGGGCCTGATTTCAGGGCCAGCATAACCTCCGTGGGAAGACAGACCAGCAAACTTTAGTTGCACCTGCTCTGAACCAAGACACGCCGCTCAGACTGTAGAGTGGCTCGTGCCTCGAGCAAGGGGTCTCCTGTGCCTGTTGATGTAGCTGCAGGGCGTCAGGCGGAAACCGTGGCTCATTTTCGACTTGATGGGGTCACCAAGACTGCTCGACAGCGGCACGCCGGCTTGTAGGACTAAGCTGTAAGCAGCTAATCGCTGAGACCCCAAAACGGGCCGTATCCTCCAAGTAGACCGCTGTCCGCAGCTCCAACAGTGCATCCCTGCTTAGACAACTCATTGCCTTGATCAATCAGAACGATAAGCAGTCATATGCCAGCGAGGAAAACCCTGTGATGTGCGGCCTTCCGCTCTCATCTTCTCCGCCTGGGGCTCCGCCTTAGGAGGGTGCAGCTGTGAGGAACAGATGAGATGCTTCGATCTTCTCCGCGTCTCTCCTCCTTGGTGACGCTCCACAAGATCCGACACCAGCCTGATCTCAGGGAAGCATTACCCATCATTGCCCTCCGTGAAAAGACCGACAAGCAGGCTTTAGTTGCGCCTGCTCTGAACCCCAAGACACGCCGCTCAGACTGTCAAGTGGCTCGTGCCTCGAGCAGCTGCAAGGGTCTCCTTTGCCTGTTGATGTAGCTGCAGAGCGTAAGGCGGAAACACGTGGCTCATCTTCGAATTGATGGTCTTCGTCGACATCCTCACTCTTGCTTGTAGGACTGATTGTAAGCAACTCATCACTGAGACCCCAAAAAGGCCCACATTCGCCAAGTAGACTGCCGTCCACAGCTCCAACAGTGCATCCCTGCTCAAACAACTCACTGCCTTTTGCAACATCCAACCATATCCAACCTCAGAGCGACAGGCATTCACATGCCAGCGAGGGAAGCCCTGTGATGTGCGGCCTTGTGCTCTCATCTTCTCCGCCTGGGGTGCCGCCTTAGGAGGGTGCAGCTGTGAGGAACAGATGAGATGCTTCGATCTTCTCCGATTCTCTCTTCCTTGGTGACGCTCGACAAGATCCGACAAGAGCCTGATTTCAGGGCCAGCATAGCCTCAGTGGATTGACAGACCATCAGGCTTTAGCTGCGCGTGACCGGCGGGGGGTTCTCACACAAGCAGGGCTGGGGCCATGGTCGCAAAGAAGTCGTCTTCTCCGACGTAGTCCAACCTCTACCAGCAAGACCGTCGTCTCCTGCAATCGGGGGATGCTGCCCAGACTGTAGATAGAGTGTCTCGTGTTGCAGCAAGAGGGGCTTGCCCCTCAAAGGCCTTGATGGCCTCCCTGCAGGCTTTGGCCCGCCATCCTTCAGAGGATTCAGCGTGGAGCAGATCGACCAGCGGTGATTCGCTCTGAGATAGGTAAAGCCTTGGGACGTGCCCCGCGATGAGGGGAACATCTGCCTGAACACAACTGGGGCAAGAGGCCTTTGGGTGAGGCCTCATGTTCCAGCTGGAAGCGCCACACCAGGGTTGCTCATCAGAACGACCCAGTGTGAGAAGTGAAGCACGGGCTGCAGCCTGTGACAGAACCTCAAAGGCACGTGGAAGGTGGGTCCTCGGGACTGGTGGCCTAGTAGCTGCTGAGTCTCAGGCGCTTCTGTTCACTTTGATGGCAGCACGCCTCATCTGGACCGCACAACTTGGGTCCCGATCCCCACATGGCCGCCAGCATGGGCCTTTTGGGCAGCCTCGCCCACCCTTCGCAATGGTTTTCTGGTGACTTTTGGAAGGGTGTGTGCTGCATCCGGGGGCGGGGTCTGAGCTCTGTACCCCTATAGGCCCTAAACCTTTCCAGGCCCGGCCACCTGGCCCAAGCCATGCGGAAGGCAAGAATATGCATTGCAGTTTGCATATCTGCACCGTGTCTAAGGGCCGAGGGACCCGCAAAGTCATCTCTTCATGCAAACCCTAAACCCTAAATTTCTAAACCCTAAACCCTAAACCACCCTGATCTCGCAGTTCGTGAAAAGTTACCGTGCAACTTTCATAGGAAGCCGCCAGCATGGGCATCTAGGCAGCCTCGCGCACCCTTCGCAACGGTTTTCCGGTAACTTTTGGAACTTTGTGACGTGCGTCGGGGGCGGGAGGGGGGGGTTGGGTTGTGGTTCAAGGCCCTTCGGGGTCTGAGCTCTGTACCCCTAGACCTTTCCAAGCCCGCCCTGCTTATCAAGAATGTGCATTGCAGTTTGCGTATCTGCACCGTGTCAAAGGGCCCAGGGACCCGTAAAGTCATCTCTTCATGCAAGCCCTAAACCCCAAACCCTAAACCGCCTTAATCTCGCAGCGCGTAAAAAGCTACCGTGAAAGCAGGCATCAACTTTCATAGGAGGCAGAACATGACTAGCACAGCACAGGGGATCGACAGCTGCACGCGCCACGCCAAGGGGCCGAGGGGCCCGTAAAGTCATCTCTTTATGCAAGCCCTAATAACCCAAAACCCTAAACCCTAACCCCTAAACCCTAAACCACCCTGATCTCGCAGTTCGTAAAACAGTTACCGTGAAAGCAGGCATCAATGTGCATCCATAGCACAGGGGGTCGGCAGCATGCGCCAAGCCGGTCCCCATCGGCTGTGGCCACGCTGTGGCAGACCATGCGCCCGTGTGCAGTGCACTTCGTAACTTCATGGCGCAGGTACACCGATCATGCGCCACCACCCGTTTTTTTGAGGGGCTCATGGCTGACTTGCTGAGCCTGTCAATCAACACGGCCCTCATGTCTTCGAGAGCACATGACCTGGGTTTGGGAAGGCCTTGTGGCCCGTCGACCTTTCGAGTCGAAAACTGGAAGGCCCAAGGCCTCCGCCAAAACTCAACTGCCAAAGCATGCAAAGCTTTACCCTAACCCAGAAAGCCTTTAGAGTCTCAGGGAGAAGCCTATATGAGGTTTTATGGGCTTGCAGCTTTGAGTTTTCAGGGCTTCGTGGAAGGTCCGCCAGCACACCGAGAGGCCCCAAGCAGGCCGCTGGGAGCTTTGTGAAGCTTGGGTGCGCCAGGTGCCAGACTTCACCCATCGTCGCACAAGCAGAGGATTCCGCGCTCTGCTGGCCTTGCTGCTCCCTTGAACCCTATAAACTCCATGCACCCGGGCCATGCCTTCGAGGTTCCCTTACGGCACTCTCCGTCCTAAGTCCTGCTTAAGGTGGAGGGTTCGCATACCCTACAGTATCACATAGGAGGGTAGATCCCAAGTACCATATAAGGTAGTTGGGGGATCCAGCCTGACTGTCAGCGGCCGGGCATGCGTGCACCCAGGCTGCGGTCTTGTGGGGGAAGATTCGGGGTGCGTGCCTGTTGTGGCTGCCTTCTTTCGGACCCAGCACACGGGGCTCTGGGTTTCAGTGGGGGCTTCAGGCGGCCAAGCCCCGACAAAAGGCTTCGGGGGTCGTGGGGTTGCTCTATAATAGGGGCCCAAGCATGCGGGGATGTTTCGGGCCCTTGAGCCCCCCACCCTGTGACCTGATCTTCCCGGCTCCCTGAAGCCGCTGCGGCCGGCGGCAGTCCGAGCGCTTCGGCTCCCAGAGGTTTTGACCTGCAGCTCTTTGATTCTGAGGCTTGGCTACGCGCGCGTGGTGCGGGGGCACTGGCTGCACAGCCTCCACAGGCTGCACTGGCGCGGGGGGCACCGCTCTCGAAGCCGGAGGTGCGCGTGCTCTTCGGACGCTCCCCTGACTGCCCTGCAGCCGGCGGCGGTGCCCCGGACCTGGCACAGGGAGGCGTGTTTTCACGCCGCCTTTCCATGTGCCCTGGCCCCCGCATCTTGAGCTTTGGAGAGTCGCCTGGAGGCAGGATCGCCTTTCTGATGTGCAAGGTCGCGAACGTGCCAGGCCAGGATCTCGGCCGTGACGTGCAGGAGGTCCAAGGCCTGCTCCGGCCAGGCAGCTGGGACCTGCGGCGCCTCCTCGGAACTTCGGCGCTGCCCCGAAAAGCGCCTGGGAGGTGTTGGGCAGGGCGGTTGTGAGAATTTTTTTGGGAAACTTTGGGGTGGTGGTCATCAGAGAGCCGAAGGTTTTGGGAGGCTGTATGTCTTGTTTGTTTGCGTGAAGACGCAATGGCTTTTCAATTCGGTCAATTCGAGGATTTCAACCCCAAGCCTTCAAGCCGTAGCGCTTGGTAGCCCAGTGGTACCCTTCCCCTTCTAGGCCTAAACTAGCATTGCTGGACGTCCTGAGGCCCGAAAATGCATAGGGATGTTGCACGGAGAGCTTCAAGGCTTTCATGGTGCATGCGTTCGAGCCTTCAGAGTATGGTTGGTCCTCCCGATTCTCTTGGTGCTCTTAAGCTAGATCCCACCCGCTACGTGCCGAGATCCCGGTTCGGCCCGGGTGGCAGGGGGCTTTCTTGGTTCAGGGTTGGGTTTAGGGTTCGGGGTGGGGGTTTAGGGTTTAGAGTATAAGGGTGTGAGTCGCGGATGGACGGCAGTCGATTGCAAGTCATGAGATATTGGGTTGAGAGGTTCGGTCTTTGCTGCAGCCTTTTAAGTCTCGGCTTCATTGAAGAGCAGAGCTTCCTTGATAAGGCCGGTGCCGAAGAATCCTAATGATTCTGGGTGTGTGTGTGTGTGTGTGTGTGTTTTTTCTTTCATCTCGTGGGCTTAAATCAATTTACTGAGCAAGTAGGTTGAACTTCGTGCAGTCTTTCAGCCAACCGAGCTGCAAACTGCAAGCTCCAAAACGGCAACTTCACTCGATGCTCAGGGATGTGCCTGTGCCATGGGAGAAGCGTCCACCCCAGGAAGGCCCACTGGCGGCCAAGCCCGCCAATGCGACACAGCTGCGAGGCCTGAAGGTTCGGAGCATGACGGCTTGCAGGATCCGGAACATCTCAAGAACTTCTTGATCGAGGCCAACATCCGACTGGTGCGGTGGGAATACCTTGTCAAGCTGGGAGAGGATTGTCGGGTCTGGCCGCGGCGCCAGGAGGCGGAGCTGGAGGAGTTCGAGGCGGAGGGGGAGAAGCGCTCTGCGCTGGTGACGCTGGAGGAGGTCCGGGGTCGGAAGCTAGGCGCGGACGTCCTCGGATGCCCGCCTGCGGGTGCAGTGATCGTCTCCGTGTCGCACACATGGGAGTCGCAACAGCATCCGGACCCCTGGGGCTGGCAGCTGCGGAGCCTCCTGCGGCATCGGCTTCGAGGGCTCGAGAAGACTCCGTGAGGCTTCGGACATTGCGGTCTGGGCCTTCATCGACTTTATGTGCCTGGCCCAGTACAGGCGCAGCAAGGAGGAACAAGACTTCTTTCAGAGAGCCATGCTGTCGATGCATCTGCTATATGCGCATCACTTCATTCTGGGGGTGTATCGCTTGGAGGAGCTGAGAGCGAGAAGTCACAATCGGGTTTCATTCAGATTTACTGCGAGGCAACCGGCAAGCTGGAGGCACGGCCCTCCAGTGAGCTGGTCCTGAACAGCACGCCCTACTTCCAGCGGGGGTGGTGCGTTGCCGAAGTGCAGCGGATGTGCGCGAAAGACATGCTTTACGGCTTTTCACCGATGAGCCCTGCAGTTTTTCAGGATCGGGTGGCCCGAGGCGAACAAGGACTTGCAGATGGGCTGGCCTTGAAATTCACGCACCGCTCCGACATGAAGGCTGTGGTTGACTTGCAGGAGAAGGTTGCCAGGCGACGCACTAAACTTCTTGGCGTCGGACTGCCCCACCGAGAGCTTGTGATTCTGGCCGATGCTCTTCCGCACTTCGAGAATCTGCAAGACCTCCAGATACTTGGCCCGTCGGAAGGTTTGGGAGGTGGCGTCATAGAGCTGGCGCGTGCCCTCGAACGCCTTCATTCCGAGAGGCTGGTCGTGGTGGCCTTTCAAGGGAAGGGTATTGGGGATGCCGGTGCTACAGCTCTGGCAGCGGCTTTTGCGGCTTGCAAGAACCTGTCGGTCATAGACATAGAGAGCGACGACATAGGAGATGCTGGGGCAGGAGCCCTTGCAGCAGCAGTTGCGGAATGCAGGAAGTTGAGGAGGTTTCGGCTCTCAGACTGCTCCAGGATCAGAGATGCTGGCGTAGCAGCTCTGGCCGCAGCAAGCTTAATGGGACAGGTTTCAGATCTGGCGACGAAGTCGCAACACAAGTGGGGCAAAGTAACTCACTCAGATGCCTTTTGAAAATCGTCCTTTGCGTTGGCACACCGTTTGCACGCCAGCCCCGTTACACGCTAGGAAGAGAAAGGGAAATTGGGGAGCTGGCCTCTATGAGCGGCTGGCCTCTACCATTGAGGGCGAAGCCGACCCCTGTTCCCCCATGAAGCCTAAACCCTGAACCCTAAATCCTGAATCCTAAACCCTGAACAGCGCGGTCCTTGCGGCTTCAAGCTCCGGTGGATGCTCTGAGCACTTTGCTCGTTTTCTTTGCACGAGTCGCTCCATGGCCGCGTTTGCGGTGGGCGATCGTGTCGTCTACCAGAACGAACAGGCAGGGAGCAGGGAGGGGGTGGTGGTGGGATGGCGGTGGTGGTGGTGGTGGTGGTATGTGGTGGTTATTTTCATTGTGCTCAATGTGTTGGTGCTGTGGACATAGATGTACAACCTGGAAGAACGTGAAAGCGCCCAAGCTCCCCAGCCGGCCCTTCATCCCACCCCTCAGCTTAAATTGACATCATCCATGGCGTCAAAGCTGGGCTGAAGACCCCCCCCCCCCCGCATAGCACGTAAACAGTCGTGATAGTGGAAATCTGAATGCAAATATCGCAGTGGTTTTTCAAGTGCACAGATTTTGGTTCGGTTTTGTCAAGCCAAGGCCACTTGAGACCTTTCCGGGACATCTGGTATTCTGTGTGTATATTTCATATCACTACTATTCCTATAAATATTTAAATATTTTCAAGATTTTTAATACGACATGTACATATTTGTATATATATATATATGTACATATAATATGTAGTATTGCTGAAGACAACGATATTTCTGTATTGTTCTTATATACTATATACCAGAGGTTTTCAAAGGAATGGTGGATGAACAGGCTTTTCCTGACAGTAGAAGTGGGCCCCCCTTCCCAGTCAAAAACAACAAGGAAACAAATCAGGGAGCAAGAGCAACATGTCAACGCTTGGGAAGTGCCTTTGGAAGCCAGAGGCGGGGGGTCTTTGAAGAGGAAGGAGGCGCGGAATGGGCCCCAGCTTCTAAGAGCTTCCAGGCCCAACTCCAAAAGAAGAGAGCCACCTGGTCCGCACAGGAACTCGCCGTCTCGCTCACAGATGGAGGAGACACAGGAGATGCAGGTGGAAGAGGCGGCTGCTTTGTTCTCGGATGCCTTGGTGTGATATTCCCCTACTTTTTGGGAAAAGAGAAAGAGAGAGAGAGAGAGAGAGAGAGAGAGACAACCATTTTTGCTCAAGCTTTTAATTGAGAGTTGGCCAGGTCTCTGTAGCAACCCCTCTCACCCCCGCGCTGAAGAATGTTTGGGGCAAAGGCAGTCATCCTTCTTGCCATGGCAGTGTCGGCCAAAGCCGATACGTGGGTGAGGCTCACACAGTACTCGGACCCGACGTGCACGAAGATCGTCGGCTACGGCGACCTCTTCCTAGTGGATACCTGCTCCCAAAACCTGATGGCCACAGTTCAGGGCACAGAGGTCACGGTCACCTCCTACAGCTACAACACCGACAGCAATTGCGAAACTGCCACTGGATCAAGCTGGACCGGGACGGCCGACACCTGCTCCAGTACTGGGACGCGGTACCAAAAGGCTACAATCTTCACTGCCCCCAGTGCAACTGCACATTACTTCGCGGAGTCCAATTGTTCCCAGCTTCTTGAAAGTTCGCCCATTCCGCTGAATACCTGCATCACCGCCGGCTTGTCGGCGAAGTATGAGTGCGATGGGGACATGATCAAACAAAAGGGCTACCGGACGACGGACTGCGCAGGCACAGAAAGCCACGTTACCAGTTTCACGATGAACGTGTGTGAGGGATGGGTTAACTATAGCTCCACAGCGTGTGCCAGTGCTGAATCAAGCTCTGCAGATGCAGCGGATGGCATTGCCACCTTTGTTGGGTTGGGCCTCTTCGCAAGCCTGCTGTAGTTTAAGGCTCTGAGCCCGAGCCTTCAGCCATTCGTAACAATCGAGTGACATTTCGCTTCAAGATGCTTCAAGCAGAAATCAAAACTGCAGTTGCTGATGGCATGATGCGAGCTGGTCGGGGTGGGGTTGGGCCCTTTGCTCTTCTGTCGATTCTGGGTCACGCCCATATGAGATGCACACTGAACTTCACTGAGCTTATGAGAAATCGCTGAGATTCTTCGCGAGGCTTGGGGTGATTTTGGCCGCGCTGCTGTGGTTGGCGGAGCCGAGCGCTTCGGGCCGCGTGCTCGCATCTGCTCGATGTCCGCAAAATCCCTCCAAAATGGGCGGATGATGGTGAATGTGTGCTCGACCCTGAGTCGCTGTGAGAGCCTTTTGGATTTCCCAGGTAAGTTCTGGTCAAGGTGACTGACAGCAACAAAGCGACCGTCTGCCAGATTCCTAGAGGCAGACAGGCGCCCGACTCTCGGTGCTATGGCCTCTAAACAGTTCAGTCGTTGCTACCAGTGGTGCTTACAGTGTGGCTGCGAGGCCGAAACTGCAACCCATCGTGGGTGATGAGGTGAGTGGGGGGCCAAAGATGAGACAACGCTTCAAACCGGATGTGTGTTGGTGGCCGTTGGTGTGTAGATTGTAAACCCTAAACCCTAAACCCTAAACCCTACACCCTAAACCCTAAACCCTAAATTTCAGGCCTAGCGGCACGGGCCGGCCCCCGCCCCCCAAAGCACGAAACCTTGAACCTTGGCACTGTCTTCTCTTTCCCGTGTCTTTGTCCTCTCCTTCTCTCTGTCTCTCTTTCTCCTGCCTTCGCCCCCCCTCCCTCCCCCCCCTCCCCCCCCCGGCGCTCGCGCGCGCGCGCGCACCCGCATCAGCAGCATCAGTGGGGTTGGTTTGGGGGCCTTAAAAGCATTCTATGCATGCGTTTTGCCTTCGAAAAACCTTCAGAAAACGCTGTAAACACGTTTTTTTTGGGCTTGGGAAGCCTTTTGGGACCCAGGAAAGGGAGCATCATGAGCATCAGCGGCCTCCCCCAGGCCATCCAAAACCCTCTTAAACACGCGGATTGTATGTGCTTGAACGCTTGCGTGCCCACGAAACCCCCAAAAGCAAGACCCCGAATGCCCTTAAGGGCATTCGGGGTCCTGCTGTTCGGGTGTTTTGTAGGCACGAAGCCGTTCGAGCGCGTAAAATGAGCGATTTTAGGGGCGTTTTTACGTGGACCCACAAAACACTCGGTATTTACGAGGTTTTCTGCTGTTGGAACCCCCCCCAAAACAAGCATCATGAGCATCAGCTGGGTCTCTGGGCCGTGGGCCCGGAGGCGGCTCCGCCCTGGACGCCCATGGCACACCTATGGCAGAGCTGCGCTGCCAAAGCATGCCCCAAGGCGCTTCGTCTCGCTGGGAGGGCTCGAGGAAGTCCACCTCGAGAGGCAGTGTCGCTAAGAGTCGGTGAGGTCAGTCGAAAGAGTGGCAGAAGAGCAGCAGAAGAGCAGCAGAAGAGCAGCGGAAGAGCAGGGGAACAGAGAGCTCAGCTCCTTCATCAGCACAGACATGTGATCGAAAACATGAGACATACCACTCCATACCGCACAGTTCCGTGTTGTACACCATAGCTCAGCTCGGCGCCTCAAGTGTGCCGACATCCACCATGCCCTGAGAGCGGAAGACGGACACCACTCTCGGACACCGCCCTCTCTGTTGTTCCTGCTTGCTCCTGTTCTGCTCCTCTTCTTCCACCTTGCTATGCTTTAAACTCCGTCTGCGGCCTCGACGAAGTTGGGCTCCAGGCTCAGCACCAGCAACACCAGGTCCAGGTTGGCGCACAGCACCTGGGCTTGCGGAGTGCCTGCTCGCCGCCGGGCCAGCGTGGACTTCCGAGGGAGCCCCTGCAATGAAACCTCTCTCGCACCTCGAGCCTCGCATGCCTCGACTTCACTCCTCCCATTCTGACACAAAATCACAAGCCCTCGCGCTTGTCTTGCACCCCAGCACGTCCTCCACGAGAGCCTCCCAAGCTTGGACGGCATCACTTCAACACCGAGCAAAAAGCATCGAGTCGAGCTGTGATGAGCTGTGAGAAGTGACTCTTTAGGGTTTAGGGTTTAGGGTTTAGGGTTTAGGGTTTAGGGTTTAGGGTTTAGGGTTTAGGGTTTAGGGTTTAAAGTTTAGGGTTTAGGGTTTAGATTTGGGGTCATCAGAAACTTTGCGACTCAGGGAGCTCTGCAGGACTTTTGGGCCCTGCTTTAAGGAGCCGGTCCGCTCCTCGGCATCTCCAGCGGCCGTGAAGACGATGCCTCGGAACGCAAGGAGGCCACAACCCTTCACGACGTGCCTCTACACCCAAACATCTGGTTTAGGGTTTAGGGTTTTGGGGTTTAGGGTTTAGGGTTTGGGGTTTAGGGTTCAGGGTTCAGGGTTTAGGTCCGCCGATCCTGGCGGGTGTGGATGGGTTTGGGGAGGGTTTGAAAACCTCCTCTTTCCCCCTTTTTTTCCTTTCCCCCCCCCCAAAAGCCTGGGGTTGGGGGGGGGTATGGGGGGTACCGGGAGGGCCAATTCGCAAAACTTGAGGAAAACCCCCCCCCCCCCCTACCCCCCCTACCCCCCCTACCCCCACCTACCCCTCCCTACCCCCCTACCCCCCTACCCCCCCCCCCAACCCTTCCTCATACAAAGGCTCTGAAACGGCACTCCAAGGCGCTCCGAGGCGCTCCGAGGTGCTCCGAGGTGCTCCGAGGCATCCGAGCTGCTCCAATGCATCCGAGCAACTCCTGCTCCGAGTGGGAGGCGCCCCATGGCTCCAAGCCACTTGCCATTTATTGGGTCTGTCAGTTTTGCCAGGTCGGTCCCGTTTTGTTTTTTGATAAAACATGGCTTTTTGGAGCACGGAAGCGCAACCTGACAAACCTGACAGACCTGACTGCCTCTGTTCCCGCGGGCCCCCGAGCCGCCGATAGGGGACCAACATTGACACGCCCGAAAGTGCAGAATTCTGATGTAAGTGCAGACGTGGGACTGGAGATTATCCTTCCAAGAGAGAGCTGGTACGGTGGGAGTACCTTGTCAAGCTGGCAGAGGATGGCCGGGTCTGGCCGCGGCGCCAGGAGGCGGAGCCGGAGGAGTTCGAGGCGGAGGGGGAGAAGCGCTCTGCGCTGGTGACGCTGGAGGAGGTGCGGGGTCGGAAGCTAGGCGCGGACGTCCTCGGATGCCCGCCTGGGGGTGCAGTGATCGTCATTGATCGTCTCCGTGTCGCACACATGGGAGTCGCAACAGCATCCGGACCCCTGGGGCTGGCAGCTGCGGAGCCTCCTGCGGCAGCTTCGCATCGGCTTCGAGGGCTCGAGGGGACTCCGCGAGGCTTCGGACATTGCGGTCTGGGCCTTCATCGACTTTATGTGCCTGGCCCAGTACAGGCGCAGCGAGGAGGAACAAGACTTCAGAGAGCCATGCTGTCGATGCATCTGCTATATGCGCATCACTTCATTCTGGGGGTGTATCGCTTGGAGGAGCTGACGCCTGAGAGCGAGAAGTCAAAATCGGGTTTAATTCAGATTTACTGCGAGGCAACCGGCAAGCTGGAGGCACGGCCCTCCAGTGAGCTGGTCCTGAACAGCACGCCCTACTTCCAGCGGGGGTGGTGCGTTGCCGAAGTGCAGCGGATGTGCGCGAAAGACATGCTTTACGGCTTTTCACCGATGAGCCCTGCAGTTTTTCAGGATCGGGTGGCCCGAGGCGAACAAGGACTTGCAGATGGGCTGGCCTTGAAGTTCACGCACCGCTCCGACATGAAGGCTGTGGTTGACTTGCAGGAGAAGGTCTTCCTGCAGCATGCCAGGCAACGCACTAAACTCCTTGGCCCCGCCGAGAGCTTGTGATTCTGGCCGATGCTCTTCCGCACTTCAAGAATCTGCAGGACCTCCAGATACTTGGCCCTTCGGAAGGTTTGGGAGGTGGCGTCATAGAGCTGGCGCGTGCCCTCGAACGCCTTCATTCCGAGAGGCTGGTCGTGGTGGCCTTTCAAGGGAAGGGCGTTGGGGATGCCGGTGCCACAGCTCTGGCAGCGGTTTGCGGCTTGCAAGAACCTGTCGGTCATAGACATAGAGAGCGACGACATAGGAGATGCTGGGGCAGGAGCCCTTGCAGCAGCAGTTGCGGAATGCAGGAAGTTGAGGAGGTTTCGGCTCTCAGACTGCTCCAGGATCAGAGATGCTGGCGTAGCAGCTCTGGCCGCAGCAAGCTTAATGGGACAGGTTTCAGATCTGGCGACGAAGTCGCAACACAAGTGGGGCAAAGTAACTCACTCAGATGCCTTTTGAAAATCGTCCTTTGCGTTGGCACACCGTTTGCACGCCAGCCCCGTTACACGCTAGGAAGAGAAAGGGAAATTGGGGAGCTGGCCTCTATGAGCGGCTGGCCTCTACCATTGAGGGCGAAGCCGACCCCGTTCCCCCGTGAAGCCTAAACCCTGAACCCTAAATCCTGAATCCTAAACCCTGAACAGCGCGGTCCTTGCGGCTTCAAGCTCCGGTGGATGCTCTGAGCACTTTGCTCGTTTTCTTTGCACGAGTCGCTCCATGGCCGCGTTTGCGGTGGGCGATCGTGTCGTCTACCAGAACGAACAGGCAGGAAGCAAGGAGGTGGTGGTGGTGGGGTGGCGGTGGTGGTGGTGGTGGTGGTGGTGGTATGTGGTGGTTATTTTCATTGTGCTCAATGTGTTGGTGCTGTGGACATAGATGTACAACCTGGAAGAACGTGAAAGCGCCCAAGCTCCCCAGCCGGCCCTTCATCCCACCCTTCAGCTTAAATTGACATCATCCATGGCGTCAAAGCTGGGCTGAAGACCCCCCCCCCCCCCGCATAGCACGTAAACAGTCGTGAGAGTGGAAATTTGAATGCAAATATCGCAGTGGCTTTTCAAGTGCACAGATTTTGGTTCGGTTTTGTCAAGCCAAGGCCACTTGAGACCTTTCCGGGACATCTGGTATTCTGTGTGTATAT